GTTTGTGCCTTCATTTCTTGCTAGCTATCCTCGAGCAGTTGGCTAACCCTGTGAAACCACATCTACATCCCATGTCCTCATCCACACCAGTCGGGCGGCGTCGACCACCCCAAGAATTCACCCTCCCCTCTGGCAAAAAGGTCATTGCCGCGCTCGCAGACGCAGTCCCATCTCTGCGTAGGCAATACTCCAACAGCAGTGACGATGTCGAGGTTGTAGTTCAAGGATCGGCCGAGCACACCAACTATCTTAAAGAGAGCCGGCAGCACCATGAGAGTCGCCGTGCGGAGCTTAAAGAGCGTCACGGCACGGCATTCGATGAGTGGGAGGATGTCCAGAACCAATTGAATTCCGTAACCGCTCAATTGTCGCGCATGTCCACGAATACGTCGGGCCTTCATGGAAACTATGGCAAGTTTGGCTTCGACGCCGGTGTAAGGACTTATGATGATGGCCAAGGCGAGGCGAATGGATCTGGAGAAGGGAGGGAGCGAGCCGACGAGACTCATCACGAGGGGTATCGACAAGCGTCAACGATTAAACTGGCCAAGCGGCCGGTGGTGAGGCAATGGTTTCATAGGAATGTCCTGTGGAGAGGGTCAGAGCAGACCGAGATTATGGCCGTGGAACTATTCTTCGACCTTTTATACGGTAAGCTGCTCGTCTTGCGACCCATGGCACGATTACTAACTGCAAGTCTAGTTGGCATTATTCACAGCAACGGCGAGCACATGTCCGAGGAGCCGAATGGTGAGGAACTGCTGCGCTTCGCCGTGACCTTCATCATGTCGTGGAAAATCTGGACCGACGTCACCATGGCGCTTAGTTGGTTCGAAACCGACGACGTGCTGACCAGGCTCGAGATCTTGTTCGAGATTGCCCTCTTGTTGGCGTGCGTTCTCCCAAACCTCATCTCACGGTGTCAGTCAGCTAACAGACGTAGCTTCACCACCAACATGACCAACTGCTTTGTCGATGATCCCGCCCACAATACCTACACCCAACTAGTATCATTCTACCTCGCCGCGCGCCTCCTGTTCGCCGTACACTACGTCGTAATCGCCTACTTGGTCCCCATGGTCCGCGGCGCCATGATCACATCCGCCATCACCGTCCTCGTCCCGTCAGCAATCTGGATCGCCAGCATCCATGTCGAAATGCCCGGTCGCCTAGGTCTTATCTGGCCCGCTCTCGCACTCGACATGTACGGATCAGGAATCTTCATCGGCCTGTTCCGCTACGCCCGTAGCGCCGGCGCAGACACGTCCATGGGCAAGAAGTTGAACAAACTGTTCGAGTTTTATCCCGCCATGAACATCGAGCACAAAGTCGAGCGGATGAACGCCTTTGTTTCGCTAGTCTTGGGCTACTCCGTCGTAGGAATCTTGTTCCAGAGCAATGGCGGGTACAATGTGAATGCGTTTCTGGGAAAGGCGGTATTGGGGCTCATGCAGGCCTTCTTTTTCAATTGGATTTACTTTGACGTGGATGCGAGTACAATCAACGTCCACGCAATTCGGCATTCCGCCAACGGAGGTATGTCCATGAACCATGACGCTCAAATATGCTGCCCACAGGCGACAGGACTCTATTAGTTGCTAACAACGGCCAGCCGTGCTATGGCAATTCGCCCATCTCCCCTTCGTCATGGGCTATATTGTAGCCACGTCTGCGCTCTCCACGCTCGTCCTAGCCCTCGACGTCCCCAACACCGAGCGCGACCAACTTCGCCCTCCATACTCGGTGCGAGCGGAGGAGCACCTCAGCAGCGGTGTCCGTTTCTTCTACTGCCAGGGACTAGCAATCGCCCTGCTCTCAATGGCATTCATTTCCCTGAGCCACTCACACCGCACACCCCCTACGATGCGTCTCTCCAAGCCAGTCCGCCTCATCAACCGCGTGCTGGTCTGTATCATCATGTTCTTGCTCCCCATAGCTACTCATCTGGACAGCTTGTCTCTCATTTCCACCACCTTGGGTCTAACGGCGTATGTATTGATTGTTGAGCTGTGGGGGAAGTCGTGTAAGGATGAGAGTTTCTTTCCAGGCAGACGAGATGTTTCCAAGATGCGGGCCATGGCCGATGCGAAGAGTGCGGAGGCTGAGGTTCAGGGTACGGATAACCCGAATCCGGGGCAGATGAGAGCAGACAGGATGCCTCTGGATCAGAATGATACGACGGCCTTTTGATGTTTCGTAGATGGCTTCAGTGCCGAGGATATCAAAGCTTGGATGATAATCAGCTGAAACTGTGGCGGGCATGATTTACCCGTGTCCATTTATACCCAGCTTTGCATCTGTGGCAGACCCTAGAGGCCGTTTCAAATGAAATGCTTGCTGCACGCTATTAGGTTAAGCGCCATTTGGGGTCAGAGAAATGCGCACAGAAATCACCAAGTTCTGTACCAGAGGCAATGAAACGTTGGATGAGCAGCTTATGGAACAGCTAGATTGTACACTACACAGGATTTGCAAAATACCATTATTTTGAGAAAACTTGCGATATTGGCTGCAATGTCCTTTTAAAAGTCCAGGTTAGTTGTCAACATGAGTGAGCGCGAGGAGAGAATGGAGTATTGATCTATAATAAAAAACGTACCTAGTAAATCTCTGAGCCCACAGAAGTCATTCGCCCCTTCCGGCGTAAATACAAGATGGGGTAAATAGTAAGAAGCGCAGCAGCCATCATAAAGACACCAGCAAATACCTGCAGACGCCAATAGTCTGATCCTGCTGATTTCACATCGTAGATTGCACCGCCAATGGGGCTGCCTATTAGCATCCCTAGGCCAACCCAGCTCCAATACATACCTGTCCGGGAGCCTATCACGGTCACTGACGGGCAGAATAAAGGTATAAATGCTCCTGGAAGAGTAACCAGAATACCGGATACCATGCCCCAAAATACGGCCCACACGATAGTGCCAGCAACTGTATCAACAGGAATCCAACAAAATAACAGGACGGATCCTGCCACGAGAGAGACTGCAATAGTCTCCGTCGGGCCAAATATGGCAGCTGTGAGACCTGCTACCAGTCGGCCAATCACGGAAACGCCGTTGAGGATAGAAAGAAGATCAATAGTTAGATCAGGGCTTATAGATGGCACCCGAACTTTGGTAAAGAGCGGCAGGTAAAGCAGGGGGATATAAAAAGCGGTAGCACTAAAGACGGAGGCAACAGAAAGAAGCATGAACGGCAGATCGGTAAAGGCTGAGATGTCGAAGAAGCGCCGGATGACCGGGGCACGGGAGGTTTTGCGCCGTCCATCGATCAACACTAGATAAGACAGAAGGTATAATGCTAGGATTAGAAATCCGATGCAGCGGACAGTCCAGGGAAAGCCGACTCGGGGCACAAGAGCACGGAACATGGTTGGGAAAATGATGCCGCCTAGTCTACTAGGTTAGATTCAGGGATTGCAAGTATGAGAATTCCAACAGCATGTTGGGTGTGTTCCGTACCAACACAGCTGCCACATGCCATGAGGCCCATCGCCTTGGCACGGGTGGCAGGATTCGGCAAGCAGGCAGCGGCAGCCGATACACTTGGTGTAAAGACAATGCCAGAGCCAATGCCGATGCAAATAGCCTGGCTGAGGAAGAGCTGGTAGTATTCAGTAGAAATGCTAAGCATCATGAAGCCAAAGACCTGCAAAAGGCTGCCGGTCACCAGCAGTGGCTTGTAAAAGCCTCGATCATAAAGCGGACCGGTCACAATGCCGGCTGCAAAGACTAAAAAAGCCGATGTTGTTGATATCCAAGCTATGTTGGAGCTGGATTGATCACGGATGAGGAACAGCTCGTAATGCGCTTGGAAGGCACCCGATGTGAGGAGAAACCCCCTTGACGGCAGCCATTTAGCCAATCGATATGGATGGTTTGAGGAAAATATTATATAATAGACTTACCATGTATTCATGAAAACAATAAAGGTACTCAGAATCTGAAGCCATCGACGGCGGCCGATCCGAGGCGAAGTTGGCGGAGACGAGGCATCTTCGGCGGGACTGCCATTCACGGCAGTGGTGGATGACATACCATCCCGGCCACCATCTGGAGTAGTGACAATCATTTTGTTTTCCATTTTTACTGACGAAAAGACAATAGTAGGTTCCAGAAGTATGATTCAAGGACACGGGAGCGGCGCGCGACGGCGGCAGGTGAGAGTGAAGCTGCAAGAGAGAGAGAGCGCCCCTGGAATCGTGGATTAGAAGACAAAATCATTTTTTCTAAACCCCGGTAGTATGTATATACCACGATAGAGGGCTTCAATCAAAATTCCAGGTTGGCTACGGAGTACTGTGCCTATATTTCGGGCACGCCTCACGGTATGTGAACATCCCTACTGTATTGGTCAACAATGTTGGCTGGAGCCTGGAGGGTAAGACAGTGCTGAGTGCCCGTGCTATCCTTGAGAGACACGGATTTGCAAAAGTACTCCGTGCTGCCAATGGTTTCCTCTTTACGGAGTAACTTCACCGACTGGATGTGAGCGGCAGATGAATATCTATACGGAGTACGGAGTACTGAAAGCCAATCGATCCGCAATCTGCTTATGTGCATGACAGAGCATGAGCACTGAGCCGTGCCGGGCCTCGTTCAGCAGTTAGACTTTGTACGTTCAATTTTAAGACAGATAGGGTGTCGCTGGACGGATATGGCTGCAAGGGAATGGTTGAGAGTTGCAACGTATTTACGCTGCGTTGCAGTGCGTGGTACGGACATGGAGTCAATATGTGGTTGACAAAGTAACCACACCTCTTCTGTCTTAGGCCGCTCCTGCCAATTTGAACCCCCTCCCTGAGCAGTGAGCACCCCTGCCTGTTTCGTTCCAGTCTGTCTTTGCTGCCTCACGCAACCTTTGCCGATGCCAGCATCAACTCTTGTCTCTCAAAGCCCTTCATTTCCTTCATTTACAGCCTCATCAGAGTTTTCTTCCGATCGAAGCTGACTCTCGGCGCCTATTGTATCCTCTCATACTTGGCACCAGCTTTCACCATGGCAGACGACACAGCCAAACCCACGTCGGCTCGTCTGGCTGACTCTTCCTATCACTCGCCGTATACGCGTGCTGGTGCTCCACGCCCTCATCCCAACACTGATCCGTACGCAGCCCTCCGTGGCAGGGCGCTCTCTACTTTAGAGGCTATGGGGTTCGACCCTAATACCATGATCGAGCATGGGGTCCTCTGGGCTGAACATCAGGACCCCTTTGGTCATGTCATGCAGGGCCAGTACATGAGCTTCTTGGGAGCATGCTTCTGGCGTGTCATGGAGAGCTATGACGAATTCTTGAGCAAGGAGGAGTGCGACGACATGATTCAAGCTAAAACGGTTATTCCTGTTGTACGCAGGTACGAACTAGACATTCGGCGGCAGGTTAAATATCCCGACTCGGTTCGTAGTTGCTCTGTTTGCATGATTCCATAGCCAGTCCGTCAACTAATTTCTGTCCCAAAGTTAATTGCCGCTTACCGGCAGGATCGCATAGAGCCTACACGAAACCATGGAACCACTGTGCTTTTCTCGCTCAAGCAGCAAGCTATTGTCGCCCAGGTCCAAGGTTCAACAACCTACATTGATGCTAAAACTGGCCGCCCGGTGGACATTCGTACACTTGGTGGCTGTTTTCCGGCTTTATACGAAGGCTTCACGAAAAAATCCGAGCGTGCAAACCAGTTGAAGGAGAAATGGGACAAGGAGCATCCTAAATCCTCAAAAAAAACCCAGGCTAAAATTTAGCATTTTGACTAGCACCTTCTGGATCCTTTTGTCTACGGAGGTCAATTGCAGCTAGACGTAATTACATCCATCTCCAAAAACCTGTTTCTGGACGACTTTGATGACTGTCGGTACAGCAAGCTATAACCCATGTTATAGCCATGGTTGCGCATGTAGAAGCTGCTGCATGACAAGAACTCCTAATCTGAGAACCGCTCTAAGAAACCCAGTCCGAGGGGGCCGCATGTCCTTGGTATCACCTATAAGATCCAACGGAGGAATCTTATCCCAGCCGTCCATGAAGGTACGTGCAGCATGGACACCAGCCACGAAGCCATCCTCATGAAAGCCGTATCCCATCCAAGCTCCCGCGAAACTGATGTTATTGATGCCATTGATCCTATGAAGGTGGCGCGCCATAAGGATACACTCTGAGTTAATGATGGGATGGTAATATACATGGCTGCTTTGCACCGAGCAAGGCACATGTATTGGATTCATGCTCACAAGAACCCTACCCGGACTTCCAGGTTCCCCTGGACTTGGAATATCTTGGAGTTTATTCATGTCAAATGTCAGTGATAGCTTCCTTCCGCACTTGTGTTCATTCCGTGTCAGATGGTCCTGTGCCGTGGTCGACTGGTGAGGTACAAGCATGCAGTTCCATGCCGCGCGAGCTGATGAACGTTCTGGCAGGAGCTGACATCAGTTAACAGGACTGTTCGCTGGCTTGAAAAAAAACTGTGCAGTCCAACTAGGTACTCACAGAAGTGTCAGAATGCAGGTAGCATAGGTTCCTGCTAGTCTTGAAGCTACCAAGAATGCTACGCTCCAAAGCTGTGACATTTTCTCCCAAGAGAGTGACAGCTTGGTTGGCATGAACGGCAAGAACAACATGATCAAAAGTCTTTGCAGAGCCATCCGAGAAACTGACCAAGACCTCGTTACCAATTCGTGTCACCTCATGTACAGATGTGTTCAGATGCAAGTTGTGTCCCTGAGGAAGACTGTCTTGGAACGCATCGATATACGTTCTTGACCCGTTTCGAAACGAGCGCCACTGGAGTGTTTTTGTGGCTGTATCTAGCAGGCCGTGGGTTTTCCTTTTCAGAAGGTATCAGCATCATCTTTTTGCCCCCTTTTTTTCCATGTACAGGAGAAGATATTTGGGGGAAATTTACATAAAGTGTATTAGCGGCCTTGCAGGGAAACTCCTGCTGAACTCATCTGGATCAATGCACCAAGGAGCAGCTACCATTGGGATCAAGAAATAAGTCGTGAATTGACTGGAGTATCCCCGCCTTGTTAAGTAGCTACCGATGGACTCTAGAGACGTTGACATGAGGCAGCTTTCTTCTTCGCCGCGTCTAGGAGTAGTACCTCGCTCGTAGAGGATATCTTCGGCGAACAGGCTAAAGCGAACAATATCAAATATCAGACGCCATACCCAGGGGCTCAACAGCAGCGTGAGAGTGGCGACGAAGCTGCCCATGGAGCGACTGCTCCACTCGAAAGTTTTGTCGGTGGTTGTGACGCCAAATGACATATCCGTGGGGATTGTCTTGATGCCTAAATCGCCGAGAAAAGTGTTGAAGCGGGCTGTATTAGAAGATGGTTAACCATGGACCCGAGCTGAGCTTGGACTCTTTTTTCTTATCTTCTCGCAACTCACGATACGTGGCTTCGTCCATTACAATGAAGCCCGTGTCAACGTCGACGCTTGTGCCATTGCCTTTGAAGGGCACCGAATTGGCGTGCCCGCCGAGTTTACTCTCCGACTCATAGATATCTACTCTGACATTGCGGGCGCTGTGCTTTCGCAACTCCCACGAGCAAGCTATGCCCGCGATGCCTCCGCCAACAATGGCGATTCGCCTTGGTGAGCCTGTCATGGTGTCTCCCGCCAGGCAGAACCAGAGAGTACCATACGAGATCAGAAGCACGAGTACAGTCAGAGGCAATAAGTATTTGCCCATCCTTATGCCACCGGGTAGACAAATATTTATTGTATTGCCTCCCACTGTAGGTGCGTGGCGTGGCACATCCAGTGGGAACTCCCACGCCTGTGAGTCTCTCTTGTCCCCCCTTCTTTTCCCTTCTTTTCAGCCAAGCTATGGAGTACTCCATACTCCATATGTGCTGACAAGATCTGCATCGAGGGTAGCAATCACGGGGCGACATGTCTCTGCATGTCTGGGTTCAGACTCCACCAGAGTTTTGCCCGCCAGACACTGAATCTTACTTCGTATCTCGGTCAAGAATTCCGGGTTGTTATCCGACTCCGACTCACTAAGTGACACATCGGAAAGGATCGAGTGTTTGGTTATTCGTGCTCTGTACTCCGTACAGTGCTAATAGTGTTTCCTAGGGGCAGACAAATTGCAAGAGCCAATAGACGCCGACACTTGGGCCAGCCAAAATTTTGTTTCTCTTTTCTTTTTTTTTGCCTGGTCTCAAATTTGAGAGTGACTCCCCCCAACGTCTCAATTTTGGACCTATCAAGATGAGGACGCCAGCTGTCATGCCCAGGGGATGGCGAAATGTGACGCACAAGGTGACCTGTCGTCACTGGGGGCCAAAAGACGCCGGCTGCTATCATCGACGGGCGGGCGGCTTTCAAAGTGGCTTTAGAATCTACAGGAAAGGTACTATGTAACTACCGTGAACAGGGTCTCGCGGTTTGACGACCTTCTCTGCGAACTCTGAAATGGTGGCTCACTAACGTAACTATAATTAGGTGTGGAAGTCCAACACAGACTGCTATAAACGGCAGTCGACGGATGCGCCTCGGTAACTCTGTTGCCTAGCGAGTTAAAAGATGCCTCTACATAGTCGAATATTGCGCTCTGACGTCTAAATTTAGGGTAATAAAATCAAAAGTCAAGTATACCCAGTCACTCAGCGTCTTATATTCACAAACGGCATGCCTGGTTATATGCCCTTTGCCGTAAGCATGTATCAGATCAGGCTGAGCTAAGAACCAAGACAAGAACGATGTGCACTGATTGCCAGCGATATGCGTATTGTCCTTCACCAGCGAATAAAGCCAGACAGCTTTCCGTCGTGGAATCTTGCCCCACGATCTTTCCATCTCTTATTAGCTTACAACCTTTGCTCAGTTCAGGTCTGCACATGATGTTTGGACTATTCGGCTTTTCTATATCTCTTTACGCTGCTCTAACCGCTGCGGCAGCCATATTTTATGTATGTCTTTGCTCCACTCCAGCGTTGAAGCCATAACTAAATAGTCCAGGTGGTTATTACTGTCATCCGGAGAATTTACTCTCACCCATATAGCAAAGTCCCTGGCCCTTTCTTTGCAAAAATAACAAGCGTGTATTCTGCATGGCACTCGTGGAGAGGCACCATGCACCTCGACGTGCAACGATGCCATCGCGAATACGGTATGTGGTCTACTTGCATAGTTTCTAACTAACAATGCTCATCCATCCACAGGCGACCTAATACGATATGCACCAAATCAAATTCTTTCACTTCACCCTCCGGATATGAATGGTTAGTAACTGCACCCAACAAAAAAAGAACTCTCCCATACTATTCACGCTCAACCAATTTGGCGCTCACACAAAAAATAAAGCGATATACAGCCACGGCGCCCCGTTCCGAAAAGCAAAGGGCTATGCAACCATGATACCAACTCCCAACGGCTGGAGCACCATGACCTCGATCGACAAGACACTACACCACAATCTACGCGCAGTAGTGAGGTCCGGCCTCGGCGCAGAGTACTTAACGCGCTTCGAGCCCGCTATCCTCCGGCATCTCAAGATTTATTTTAGCGAGCTACAGAAGAACCAGGATCCAGACGGCTGGACTGCTGCGGCTAACATGAGAAAATGGAGTACGTCATGATGTATAAAAAGACACCTAAACAGTCTCAAGAGACAAAACAGTGTTGATTAACGTGTTCACTGTTCAGATCTTTACCTGGGCTTCGACACAATGGCGGATTTCGGGCTAGGTCTCAAGACAGACCTGCTCCGCAGCTCCGCCAGAGAGTATATATTCCCAGCCCTACACATGCACGAGAAGAAGATGGGCCTCTGGGAACAGCTGCCCATGCTCAGCAACGCGGGCATCGGGCGCCTCGTGGGCGCCGTGTTCCCCCTCGTCTCGTCCCGGGCGGCCAACTTTTCCAAATGGTACCACGGCTTCATGGAGCTCGCCATCAGCACCAACATGTCCGAGAGCCACGGGATATTCGGCCCCGTCATCCAGAGCGGCCAGGGGACGCTCAAGAGCAAGACTCCAGGCCGCGGCCATGACCGGGAGCAGATGGTCACCGAGGGCGCATTCAGCACGTTTTCTTCCGCCGACGCATATGGCATCTTGCTCTCCGGCCTGTTCCACTACCTCTGCCACTACCCACGCGTGTACGAGAAGCTCGCCGCGGACATGAGAGGCAGGTACGTCCCCGGCGAGGACATCGTCTGGGACGCCAACCTCGCATCGAGCGTGTACCTCCGCGCCGTTATCAACGAGGTCCTGCGACTGCTGCCGCCGGCATGCGGCGTTCACTGGCGCGAATGCGAGCGGCAGGGCTTCGCGGTTGGGCCTGACAGGGTGCCCATGTCGGCGGGCAGCGACGTGGGCATGAGCCTCTTCTCCGTCTTCAGAGACGGCAGGATATACCGCGATCCCGTGACGTTCTGGCCGGAGCGCTGGATCCCGGGGACGCTGCCCGAGGACGAGTTCTCCCGGGCCAAGAACATGTTCACGCCGTTCTCAATCGGGCCTAGGAACTGCGCTGGGAGTCATGTGGCCATGATGATGGTCAGCATTGCGTATGCTTACGTGCTGGTCAACTACGACTTTCGCTTCGGCCAGGAGCAGCGTACCCTCCGTCCTCACCTCGTGTCCAACTCTGTGGCGGAGGAGGGTGCCGAGTTGGAATTGACCTTTGAGAGCCATTATTCTATTGCCAGCTGGGAGAGCGGCCCTTTTGTCCAGTTTAGAGCCAGGCAGCGTGAGTAATGAATGGGATGGTTCAAGTATTATTGGTGGCTTGGTGGCCAAATTTATACGGTGTTGAGAGCACTGCCATTAGAATTGTCTATTTTAGGTATCATCTTTTTACGAGTGTTTTTTGTTCCTGTACACCGGGGAATAAAGTATGCCGCTAGGAGTACCGTTGACCTCTTGGTGCTATATAAGTGTTATTGGTGGACTTGTCGTTCTGTCACGACTGGGCCATCTGGATGGCGGTCTGGATCCTCTGGCAAAAAATGATCCAGCAATAGCAGCCTTGGGCTGAACAAGCCCTCGGATCGTACATGTGGCCCTTTGTGGCCGTTGGCCATTCCCTGCGAAGTATCTGGTAGCCAAGCCCGGGGCTCGTGAACGGATTACCCCATGACCTGGGGGACCAGACTCGATCGGTAGTCACGAAGTTGGAGCGAGAAGAGAATGGTTCATTCAGTCAGCTGTCAGCGTCGCATTGCTGCTCGGATTGGTGGCAGGTGAAAAAAGGAATGGCAACATGATGGAATCTGACCATCCGAGACGCCCAAGCCGTCGACGTGTGCGGAACCCTATTGGCGCCCGGCTCACGCCGCAATCGCAGATTACTCGAGAAATGGCAAATTAAACTCAAGAGTCTGCATACGCGCAGGGTGCCACAACTCACAACTCGCCACCCGTCACCATTCATCACCCTCCCCCGAGGAAGAAACGTGGGGGCCGGCGCCATTTGATCGACATTTGTCTCTGCCGAAGGCCCGATGCGGCCTCGACGCCCCGTCGACTTAGATGTACCGAGTACGGAGTACGTGGCCATGTTGAGTCTGGTCGAGTGTTTGTAGCTTCTCACTGCTGCCATCTCCGGCGGCTTCTCACTGACTGCAACCATCCACGAAGTTGGCGGCAAACCCTCTCGTTGTTTTTCTCCGCCATGCACGCGACAACTCGACACGTTGGCGAAACAAGTCTCACTTGTTGCTTTTGTATTTTGGCTTCTTGCCAGACGGGGCATGCCGCCGGATAAAATCAAGACACTGCCACGGGCCAGGCCAGCATACGCCTCGCGACCTGCCATCAGCTCTTTTCATCCTTGCCGTCACTTATGGTGCTGCACTCCCTGGAAGACTGTCGAGACTCGCACTGATCTGGCCTTTTCCAAGGCGCTCATTCTTTTTTTTTTTCAGCGGGTTTTCGGTGACATCTTTGTACGGACACCTTCGACATGTCTAATGGATTCATCAAGTTCGACCCGTCCCTGGTCGACGAGAGTAACGGAAGCGTCGTCCTGGTCTTGTGTGTGGTGTTTTCCGTGCTCATCAGCATATCCACGACGTCGCGTATTGCCATGAAGATCGCGACCAAGGCTGGTCTCGGGGCTGCGGATTACTTTATCGTCATTGCCCTTGTGAGTTTTGAACAGTAGATTCTGCACACTTATACACACACACACACACACACATACACATACACATGTATATATATATGTGTGTGTATATGTATGCGTATATGTATATATAACGAGCCAAGAAACTTACATGGCCTAGGCCTTCAACCTCACCGCCAACGTGCTCGAGATCCAGTCCGTCCAGTCCGGCTTCGGCCGACACCTCCAGTTCCTCACCCGCGAGCAGGTGCTCACCGTCCGGCGCTTCAGCCAGTACAACATCCTGTTCGCCAACATTTCCCTCTGGGCCGTCAAGATCTCCGTCTGCTTCTTCATCCTGGCCCTGATCCAGGGCGTCCACCGGCGCACCGCCTGGATAGTGTACGCGCTCATCGCCATCACCACCACCGCGAGCACCTGCCAGGGCATATTCTGGGGTCTCCAGGCGAGCCCGCTCCGGAAGCTGTGGGAGCCCGACATTCCCGGCGAGGTGAAAAGCGTCAAGACCTTGGTCACGTCCATTATTGC